GCTGGTAGATGGCCGACTTCTTGCATCTTCACATCATTTTCCTTCTGTACATGCCTGTGTCCAGATGACCTCTTCTTATAAGGACACCAGTCATACTGGATTAGGGCCCACTTTTAAGGCCTCCTTTTAACTTAATCATATCTGTAAAGACCCTATCTCTGAATAAGGTCACACTTTCAGGTACTGGGGGTTAGGACTTCACCATGTGAGTTGTTGGGGAGGGGGGCATGATGAACCCAATGACATACCTCAGCCTGGTAAAGTGTAGCTCAGAGGGTAGCAACATGATAGCTCTAGTTAGATATTGAAGAACTGACACTTAGAGAAGAAGTTAGATTTATTTTATACTATTTAAATGTTAAAAATTAAATGGTAGCTGCATATGTGGGTAAAACCATAAACAACCTTGCTGGAATTGTGTGACAAGAGCACTGAGACTGTTTTGTGAGAAATTTCCCTGTTAAGGAGTATCCCTGTGAAGGTTTGGAGTTGCCCTGCCTAATGGAAATATAATGTGAGGCACATAGGATACTTGTAAATGTTCTAGTAGCCTCATTAAAACAACTAAAAAAGAAACAGATGGAATTAATATGAATGCTATCTTTAATTTAATGCAGTGTAGCCATTTTGACTTGTAATCAATGTCAGAAATCATTAGTGAGCTATTTTCTATTCTTGTTTCCATTCTTAGTCTTTGAAATCTTGCAGCACATCTTAGTCTCAGCAGTCGCATTTCAAGTGCTCAGTCGTCACAGGGAGCCACAGCAGCTCCCGTATTGGACAGCACCAGTATAGGGCATCCATTCTCAACAGGGGCCATGTCGCTTCCAAGGAAATGAAAAGTGGTTTTGGAGAACAACCACAGCAAAAAATCTTCTTACTCTCTCTCTTTTTTTTTTTTTTTGGTATAAAGCACAGTTATACATACAGCATATATACAGATATTCAGCCTATCTGTAATATTGAAATGTCGTGGGGGATTATTAGAAAAATAAAGACCTAAAAAGGCTCCTTTGCAGGGCAATAATGGAAAAAGTTGAGAAGCACTGTTATAGAGTGCGTACTTGAAGGTTTAATTTCCAGTGCTTCCTGTACCAGCTTAACTGGCTTTCCTTGAGCAAGTTATTTAGCCCAAGCCTTGGTCTAGGTATCTGTAAAATGGGAATAATAATAGTGTCTTAAGTTATTATAAGTTATTATAAGTACTATAAGTATTAAAGGAGAAAAGCTTTATTATAAGTATTAAAGGAGAAAAGCTGTGAAGTTCGCCACAGTGATTGGCTCAGAGCAAATGTTGAGGATGCATCAGTTACTATTCAGTCAGGGATTTTTATAAAAAGGTATACTGGTATTAGAATTGAGTTTGGATTAGTAATGCCTTTGTCATTTCATGTCAGTTTCTTTAGTATTTATTATTGACTCATATCAGTGCACTGATGAGCAAATCATTGTAATGTTAATGTTGATTCCACTGACTCTTTTTTTTTCTTGCTGAATTGTTTCTTATTCTTCAGGATTTCGAGGTTTTGTTAAGGTCTTTTGCTTTGCCCCTTGATCATTTTTGATTTGGCTTAAAGACTCTTCAGAGATTCATGTAATTTACTAAATAACATCTTCTTAATTACTATATTAGTCTTCACTATTGATGATATGACAGTAAAACGTATTCTATCAAATAAAGAGCAGCAAGTAGAAATTTACTGAACATTATCTGCTATTACTAACTTAAGACAAGTGTGTTTATTACTGTTTTCTTTTTTATAGACAAATACTTATTAGAAAAAATATCTTATAACTTTAAGTAAATTAGAGTTGAATTCTTAGAAGCAGTATACTTACAAGATATGGTTTGCCTGCATTCTAAGGTCACAGGTGTTCTTGGAGGTAAACATCATCGTATTCCTGACCTAAAGCCTCACCCATTATACGCCTACATCTGTGGTTTTTTAAGTGTGGTCCCTGGACCAACAGCATCAGCATCACCATGAGCTTCTTAGAAGTGTAGATTTTCAGACTCTGTCCCAGAGCTACTAAATGAGGGACTCTGGAGAAAGAGCCCAGCAATCTGTGTTTTTACAACATCCCTCAGTGAATTTGATGCATATGAAAGTTTCAAAACAACAATCTTATGAAATACACATGTTATAGATGTTGATGGAGAGGTAAAGGATTAAAATATAGACCATCTGAGAGCTGTCTTCATCATTCTACAAAGGTCCCAAGAGTTGCAACCTATCTGCAGCTCCTTTGTCAATGAAGGATGATCATATATTTCAAGTTTCAAACCTGGGCATATGTTCTGACAATTAAGAATATTTGGGATCTGGGTTGAGTGGCTACTTTGGTATGGGGAGAATATAGACACTAGCAGCTATGTGGGAGGTGGGAAAACAAGCAGGTGGAAATGAAAATAGACATTCATATATTTCTGGGTCAAATCCTACTTTGCATGGCAAGAATGCCAAGTTCCAGGGGATCTTGGAATGTTAGAGGTGATTATGAAGGAAGCAGGCAGGGAGCCGAGATAAATGATCACTTAACAGAGGAACTGTGACCGGAAGAGTGGGGTCAAGAAAACTTTGAACAAAGAAGGTTTAATTTTGAAGGAGGGGAAGGAATAAGCTAGAAATGGAAATATCTGAAACAAACTGGGCAGCATAGAATAGTGTTCCTAAATATAAATTTTGAAAAGTTTTATTCTGCTCACTTAAATGTTTGATTGTCTGGGATCCTTGCAGGGAATTGCCACCAAGATTTTGATTAGAATTTTGTCAGATGCTCTAATAAGAAAAGGAACTGACTTGAAAAAGATAAGACACACCTACAGTTTATTCTAAATTCCTCTAGAAGTGGGAATGTGTGTTGTGTGCAGCCTGTCAAAACTTTTATTTTGCCCACTTCTAGAAGTAAGAAAACAGGACTGAAAATATTGCTATGATTTATTGGAAATATTGCTGTGAGCTATTATGCATGCAATCTCATGAAAGAAGCCTAAAATATATTAAAAATTATTCTTTCATTATAATATCAAGTTTATTTTCAAATGTCTTTTTTTGACATTTAGAAGTAATTAGGAAATTTTAAAATTCTAGCTGAAGTTCCTTGCAACAGCACAGTCCTTGTAAAATATGTTTTTTCCAACTGCATGTTAAGGATGTATATATGGAATATCAGCATAAAACAGAATGGCAGTTCCTCAAAAAAAAAAAAAAAAAAAAAAACATAGTACTATCATGTGATCCAGTATTTCCACTTCTGGGTATATACTGAAACCAAGGACTCAGATAGATGTTTGTGCATCTATGTTCATAACAGCATTATTCACAATAGCCAAAAGGTGGAAACAACCTAGATATTCATCAGTGGATGAATGGATAAACAAAACATGGCATACACATAAATGGAATATTATTCAGCTTTAAACAGGAAGGAGATATGACACATGCTCTATGAATGAAGTTTTAGGACTTCATGCTAAATAAAATGAGGCAAACACAAAAGGACAAATATTATACAATTTTACTTATATAACTACTTAAAATAGTCAAATTATTTAATTACCTGGAGTAGTCAAATTCATAGATACAGAAAGTAAGAATGGTGGTTGCCAGGTTATGGGGGGAGGAGGGAATGAGGAATTAGTGTTTAATGCATGTGGCGTTTCAATTTGGGAAGATGAAAAGTACTGAAGATGGATGGTGCTGATGGCAGCACAGCAAGGTGAATGCATGTAATACCACTGAAAAGTATATTAGAAAAGAGTAAATGTTATGTTCTGTGTTTTTTACTACAGTAACACAGAATATTCTGATAAACTTACATTTAGTATTTTGATACATCTGTTTTTAAATATAATCCACTATAATAATAATGAACATTTTTATGTGGCATACGTGCCCAGATGCTTTACCCCAAATTATCCTAGCTAATTCTCACGACAACCTTCTGAGTTACGTATTATGATTATCCCCTTCTTTTTTCAGTTGTGTAAAGCTATGCACTGAGACAGGACAAGCAGGAATTTGAACCCAAGAGAAGAACATCTTCCAGAACCGAGCTCTTACAATAAAACAATATATAGATAAAAATCATTCATACTACTCTGCCCATTAGGAAGAAAAAAGTCCCTATGCCAAAATTATCTCTCAAGTTCTAATTTTCATTACAAATTCTTTTAATAAGCTAGATGATATGACACACTATGGTTGTGCGTATGAAACAGTTGAAAAAACTGGCAATTTATGTCTCTCTAAAAAATGCAATTCCTGCAAAGTCCTGAGTGTTTCAGGATAAAAATCCATATCCAGTGATATGTATTTTCTTGTGCAGATAGTGTGTCTTTCTGAAAATTGCTAAGAGAAAAGAACACGTGTTTTAGAAATGTTTAATATTGTAATTACAATGTGGGCAAGTTTTGCTTTGTACTATGCATGCCTTCAACTTTGAAGACTATTTACCTATGATGTTTTATTTTAGCATGTAAAATTGAAATTTGCAGCAAGTTTGTATATCTCTTTCTGAATATGTAGAAGATGGCCTTATTTACAGTTACCTTGGAAACAGGGATGCTCAAATGCTATGTTTTACTCTATTACAATTAAAAATCATTTTATGGAGCAAATGTAATTTAAAATACTATTCTTAAGCATGGATTTTAGTTAATATTAATCATAAAAATATGTAATGATGTTTAATCCTAAAATTATTTGAAAAACTAAATATAGATTTTTAATAGAAAACATACCTTAATCAATAAATGCATAATGGCTTTTTCCGTTACAAGTTATGTATAAGTATTCTGATTATTAGGAAAGTACTTCAGTTACATAATGGATAATTCCATGAAGTTAAAAATGCCATGTCTAATTTCTTTTGAAATTTTTCTTAATAATTGACTACTTTGGAGAATCTCCTTACAATTATTACTTCTTAAATAACTCCTGGATAGAATTTTCTACAATTATATATGTTGATATTCATGTTTCTTCTTACATTTCTAGGACTCAACTATTGTTACTCCAATTATTTTGAGGACTGACCCTCAGGGATTTTTCTTTTACTGGACAGATCAAAACAAGGTAAGAAATGAGATATGTCTTTCTCACATTTTTCCATCGTTTACTACTTTGAAAAGTATTTATGTATCTTGTCTATAGAAGAACATCCATTCTGCAGATCTTTTGCAGTTTATTTAAATGTTCCACTTTTAAAGAATATCTAAGGTATTCTTAGAATTTAGGACTTTTCAAAGTCACTAGTTTGAAATAGTAGATTTGCTAAATTCTGGAGCAACTGGTATTTTTGGTACTGCTTATATTATGTGTTAGGATAAGAACAGGGGAATTTGAATTACACTTGGTGTAGAACATAATTAGCCAGCTTTCCTGATTTAAGTCCCCACCCATAAAGGATGAAGAAAAATGATGAGAAAATAACTTTTGACCCAGTAGCCATACCCGTTGGCTTTTCTTTCTCTCTCTTTTCCCCTGTGCTGTTCATTAAGGACTCTCTGAGAATCAGCAGGAATTTGGCCTTGATAATTTATGTCAGAAAATCAAGAATAAAATTCCTTTAGCCTGTTCCTTCAGTTGTCAGGAATTTCTTACTAAATTAGCTTTCTGCCCACAATAGCATGAATTTATTATCTCATTTATTATGAAACCAATTGATGATTCTGTACTGAATTATTAAAAAGTAGAATATCTGCTGATCGTAAGATTTATTTGGAGTTTAATGGGCAGTTAGACGAGAACACTCGTGGAAAGTGGTTATTATTTCAAGCATCATTGCCACAGTCCTACACTTGAACCTCAGAGGCCACAGAATATAGAATGTTTTTGTTCTCTAAGTTTTGATATATGGAGAAATGAGATAGGGTTTATTGAGAATGCTAAATACATGTTGAAAACAGTAGAATAATAATAGTATACCATTAAAACAGCTGCAACCTCCACAGTTACTGATGAAGGAGGAACAAATTGTTAGCTCTGTCAAAACTCTAAATTAGTTTCTTATGTCTAAAGTTCCTGGAGTTAGTTGCCTGTCAGCTTTGCCTTCTGTCTCTGAGGCAAGCTCAATTATACCAGTGTCTGGTCCCAGGGCCACTCCTGAATGAGCCTGTTTACACATCATTCAAAAGGCAAATTTCAGTTGTTGTCCTGGAGTTAGATTCAAAATCAGTGTGCTGTGGAACCATGTGTGGCTGTAGAAGTGGAGGTAAACCACAGACCCTATGCTAATGTCAAAAATTGTATTTGAGTAGGATTTCCTACTTAACACTCACATTTATTATTGGGTGTGTTAATCGCTTTGGCTTAGACATTCTGTTTGGTTTCCTGCTGTTATGTGTAAAACAATGGCTTGCAAGAAGTTTTGTTTTTGGGTGTTTTTTTTCTTCTCCTAAAGGATATTTTTAGAACTGTTGAAACTATATTCATGAAAGATGTATTTATAATGCCTAGAACATTTCTAGAGTTTGGGTATTTGTACAAGAGACCAAACTGTCAGTTTGATTTTTCAACTTGTAGATCAAGCTTCTATAAAAGCAACAGAAGATATTCTGGGATTTTTAAATAATTCATGGCAACTCAGTTAAACTCCCCTCTAGACCAATCATCAATATTTATTTGCTTAATAAAGAAAAAGGGTTTAGGACCAAAGCCTCTTTGTTGCATCTCTATTGTGAACCCAGTATTTCGACCCATGTTTATTTTCAAATGCAGGAAAATTTGTTTTAATTTTTTCACAAACTTTTTAATCTTGGTTGTAATGCTGAATGCTGTTTATGACCCACTGAAACAGATAATGTGGTAGCAATTCCTTTTATCACGTTATTACTTTTCTTTTCATGGATATTACTCTTACAGTTCTAGCTAACAGATAGAAATAGTAAATTTGATTTTTCACTTTCTAAATACTGAAGTCATCTCTCAGTCATTTATCAGAATTTGGAGGCTTATTTCTTAGTGATCATATATCTTAGAATCCAAAAGATGAGAGGATTTAAGAAAAAAAAAAATTAGACTTACCATGCTTTCAAGTTTGTCATTTTCTTTCTGGCTTTAAGCCCAGTCCTGGAACCAGCAAGAGTGATTCATCCACTTTTAGGAGATGGACGACTCTAAGTGATGAATTAGAGTAAATGTGTGCTAGAAGAAATGGTGCATGCAAATAAAAGATGGCACGCCAAGCTTTTAGTGGGTGTTTTTGCATAAGATCATTTGAAGGTACATGGATGAATGGTACAATCATGATGCTACTTAGAGGGCCACTTTTTAAAAAATATTTTTATCTGGCAGTTAGTTTTAGGAATCTGCCACGTGTATCATAGAGATAATCTCTCAGAGAACAAGAAAATGTGATACCTTTAAGTTTATCCCTTGATTTTATGCACTGTGTTTTCCATTGGTAGGGAAGCTTGCACTGGTGTTTATTGTAATATACCTCTCTTCTCCCTTTGGGCTTCTTCTAATATATTCCCTCTTTGGTTCATGAAGCTTATACCAAAGTACTTGGATTAGCAATCATCTGAGGTCTAGTCTGCTCAGAGGTGAGCAGAAATCCCTAGCAGGGAGGATTTTACAACAGTTTTTTGTTTTTCTTTTTTATAGCATTGGAGGTAAATGGTCACATTGTATGGTGTTCTGTGCATGTCCTCTTGTCATGGCTACATCAGATCTTGTATCAGAGCCACTTATTTCAAGCCACTGGCTTTCCCCTCTGTAGACAATGACATGTTGCCTTCCAAAACCCCTTCTCTGATTTGTCACCATAGAAATGATAGGTGACAAAGAAGACAGCACAGATGATGAATTTAGGAATCAAAAACTAAAGCTAGTGAGTCATTTTTAGGTAGCAGAAATGTGTTTTAGTGAAACACTGACAGAATGTTTGGAGTTGGTGGAAGCAGATAAATATGAATATCGTTTTTAGGGATAAATGTTTATGCTTTGTGCCAGCTCTGGACTTATTTTAATAATTCTTTTCACTGTATTGTTGGCTCTGTAAATCTTATTGAATAAAATGAGCAAAAATGAGTTTCTGAATATGACTATTTTAAGGAGAGTGGTTTTTCTTGTGTAAGTGTAGGTGATGTGAAGGGGATGAATTTATTTGTAAGTCACGGGTGAGAAGGGAGTCCTGCACAGCCTGAGTCCTTGAGAGGTGGCATGCATTAGGCTATAACTTTTCTCTGGATCCGTGCCATGTGAGCACTAAAAAACCGACACAGGAAGTATTAGCTGTGAAAACCATGTGAACTGTAAGAATCTGCTCCACCGGTTTTGAAAGAAAGGCTAAAGAGGAAAAAAAGTGTCAATGTTAAAGAGTTAACCAAAACCTATCCTGCTAGAATATGAAAAAAAATTAGACCTTTGCCTTGCAACTTGATGCCGTGCTTCTGTGCCAAGGTTGGTGTAAAAATAAAACTAGTCACCACTAGTTCAGATCCAAGAAGTTCAATATAGTTCAGTAAACTCTTCCTTGTCTTCATACTACTGGAGCTTGGGGGAAGGGAAAAGGAACACATCATTAAATTTAAAAAGGAATGGGAGGAAAAACACACGTTTTACATGAAGAACTCCTATTACTTTCTTTTTTTGTTACAAATCTTATTTATTTTTAATGTTGTGGATCATATACAAGTATCTTTTTATCTGTAAAAGAGTAAAGCAATGTAACTACCTTTAAACTGCACTCTCCTATTGATTCTAACCCTAGTTCTCTATCCAGAGTCAACTAATAGCTTCATGGTTTCTTTGTAGGTCTCTTTTAAATAAATTTGTGCATGCGTAACTATGGAAATACTTCATTTTGTTTTGCTTATGTCTATTTTTATACTAAGTCACATCATATTACTTTAACTATTCCACAATTTCCTTTTTACCATACAGTGTGTCTTAGAGAATTTTTCAAGTTAGTACATGTGTGTCTATATCATTCTGTTAAATTGGTCTATCTTAGGGAGTTTTTCGGGTTAGTACATGTGTATCTATCACATTCTTTCGTATTGCTCTATCGTATGTTAAATAATGGATTAGCAAATTTTATTTAAGAATACAAAAGTTCTCATTGATGGATTCCTGGTGTTTGTTTCTAATTTGGGATTACAAAGAATCCTATAATATGGAGTAATAGTCAGCTGTGTGTAGCCCTCTCTGGGAATATGGGTCAGGGATTCCCTAAGGTAAATGCTCAGAAATGCGATTGCTGATTCAAGGTTACACCTATCCTAAATTATAGTTAATGGCTGTACCATTTTATAACCTGACCCGTCTTATATGAGTGGAACTGTTTTCTTAAGCCCAACCAACAGTAACAGGAATATTTTAATTTTTGCCCAACTGATGCAACTGCTATATCACCTTGTTTTAATCTGCCATTGCCTGATTTGCTAGTAAACTGTGTATATTATCATATGTTCATTGGCCATTTCAGTTTTTCCTTACATGGATTGCCTATTTATATCTCTTGCCCTTGTGTTGACAGTTCTCTGTGTATTCTAGATGTACTCCTTTAGCTGTTATAAATGTTGCAATTACACTCTTCCTGTCTGTGGTTTGTCTTTGACTTTCTTAACATCTAATTTATGGGTAACAAAAGATGACTTGAAGCTTTAAATTTTGATGTAGTTACGTTCCAACTACCTCCCCACTTTTTGCTTCCTTTAAGACATTTCTGATTCCTTCTCATCACCATTATGAATCTAGGTTTTTAATCCATATGTAATGTATTATGAGGACTGGTGTGAGGTGGAGCTCTAACTTCAATTTCTTCATATCACTCGTAGTGCTGACATTTCACCACCTGGTTTGGATAGCCCAAAGATCTGTTATGTTTTAATACCTGTGGACTGCTGGGTTCTGATTTCCTACTTCATTTTTATCTCATTTATTTTCTGCCTTTCATACTTTGTGGCTCAAAGAGTGTAATTCTTTTTGTTTACCCGTGATCCTAGATTAGAGATTTAAATTTATACCTGCATATTTAATCATTTCTAGAGACTTAGCACAAGAAAGATTGGTTCTACAATCTATGCCATCTGCCATCTTGTTCTGGCTTGTGAATTTGCATGAGACAC